ATCTCACAAAACAATAAAATAGGTGAAAAAATAGGTGAAAACAGGTGAACATAGGTGAAAAGAGACAAAAATCTTACAAACCAATAGAATAAGCAAACAATGTGAAAACAGGTGAAAATAGTGCAAAACAATAAAATAGGTGAAAAATAGGTGAGAATAGGTGAACACAAATGAAAATAGCGCAGAACAAGAAAATAGGTGAAAAGAGGTGAACATCTCACAAAACAAAAAAAGATACAAAATAGGTGAACAATCTTGCGAAACCAGAATATGTGAGACATATGTGAAAATCAGTAAACATGTGCGACAATATGTGAAATAGGTAAAGATATCAAGTAGTAATGAGTGAAACAACAACCGCCAAGAAGATATGGCAGAACAACAGCACCGTGGCGCAAGGAAGACTCATCCAGATCCTCAGTTTCCATTGCATCGTTTCTGTCACCAAGCAGTTTGTTGCCCGGTGACGCAGAGGATAACAATGGTGGGGATGCTGATGCAGAGGGTGATGCAAAGGATGACGATGGTGGGGACGCTGATGCAGAGGCTGCAGAGGGTAGAGTGCTTTTCCCAGGAAGGCACAACAAAAAACGGCGACTTTCGTGTTTGAAAATAGTTCCATTCATTCAGAGAACATTTCGTGAAAGGGGCGTCAACCCCAATTCAGTGCAGCCAAAGGACCGCCGTCAATACGTCAAAGACGCATTGAATGCTGCTGTGGCTGCTGACCAGTCCTTTCAATTTTGGTTGGGAGCTGACAGAGTGTACAGCTCAAAGGCGGCTCTTGAAAGAGCTCTACTCTATCTGTATTGGGAGGATGTTGTTGCAGGCTTTCCAATTGTGTAAAGCGTTCAGCTGTCACATGCCGCCTGTTTGTCCAAAAGGCACTGCCTGGCCGGGCCTGGCCTTTCTCAAATAGGCTCTATAGACATTCTTGTTTTTCCTTGCCAGCACACAAATCCTTAATCCATCGCCAGTTAGCAAAGACCAAAGACGTCAGCAAGTGAATTTGTTTTTCACCTGCCACCTAGCCGCGGTGTGACCTGGTTGCAATCTATGTATGCAAGATTCTGCGGCTCAACGGCCTTTGATTTTTCACCCTGATGCCTCCGACCAAAGCAAGCCAGATGTTGAAGTCTGCGGCAGCTGCGCGCAGGCCCAGGTCGTCCAAACCCAAGGCCAAGTCCAAGCCAAGTGCACCAAAGGCAAATGCTAGGCCAAGGTGCATCAAGAAGCCTAAGGCTTCTGCTCGCCGCAGGGGTGGTGTTTTGAGAAAGCCAAGCGTACAGGAACCCAACCCGTTTGATGTACCTCCGCCTTCCGGTCAGCAAATGTTGTCGGTGAAGACCGAAGCGGGTGAAGACTCGAACTCGAACCAACAGTCATCCCGCCGCAAGAGGGCTCGTTTGGTTGTGGAGCCGCGACAGACACCGGCGTTGCCAGAATGACCTAGAGACTCCAGCGACCCCACCGGGCAGGGCGTCCGCCGCGTCCGCTGCCTGCTTTTTGCACCTCTGCGAAGATGGAGATTTGCCTCCCAGTCCTGAGCCCCCTTCGGGCCAGGAGCCCCATCGCCACGATGCAGCAAGGTCCAGAACGGAGATGTTTTCGTTTCCTTTGAGGAATGTACAAAGAATCCATGAGCATTTTGGCCTTGATGCTGTTGCCCGACTGTGCAAGAACCTGTCCCGCCTTTCCGTCATGTCCCTGTATTCGGGCCTTGGCGGAGCTGAGATTGCTGTATCTCTGACTACAAGCGCTGCGAGGGCCTACGTGCAAACGAACCAGTTGGAGGAGCAGGTTGGATACCCCGCCAAGCCAAAGAACGTGCTGGCCTGCGATTTCAATCAGGATTGCCAAAGAATTTTGCGAGCGCACACAGACTTTCGCTCAAGAACTTACAGTTTGATTTGTTTTTAGGTATCTTGTTTCATGAATTGTGTGAAGCCCGATTTTACCAACCTTAGCACATCTCAGTGGTCTACGGAACCACAGGTGCGGGGTACTCATGTTCTCGTCCGCAGGGGCGCCTCTTGAGCTCAGACTTAGACGGAGTGTTAAAAGGGTGGCACGGACCGCCTAAGCCATGTTTTGATCCTCCTTGTTTGATCTCGTCTTTCCGCTTTCGCACGACGTTCGCAATCTACGCAACTTGGCGGTTTGACACATTGGTGCCGCGGAGCCTTGTACGTTCAGGGCCAGTTTTTCCTTTTTGGTTTGTCCCCTCGAGGCTTCTCAGAGAGATGTCCAAAGATGTTGGTCAGGGATCCTCCTTCAACAGGGTTCCTAGTTGGGATGGCCGACCTGAAACCTTTTTTCATTACATCACAGAGATCAAATGGCATTTAGCTGGAACGAAATCCTCAGAAAGACCGTATGCAGCAGCAAGATTAGTTCGTCGCATCTTGGAGAGCGATTATCCTTCCCTCAAGTCCTTGGCCTACAAACTGGACCCAGCGGACTTCACCACCGAAGATGCTGTGACTCGTCTGATATCATTTTTGGAGGCTTCGCCAATGAACCGGCAGCCAATTCCGGATGCTGGGCGGCAGTTGTCCGCCTACTACAGGCGACTCAGTAGGAAGCCACAGGAAACCATTCCTCAGTTTTTGGTTAGGGAAGAAACGCTGTATGACTCCATGTGGCGAGCCCTTCAAAGGTTGCTTCGGGAAAAGGAATTGGATTTCGACCAGTATGATTGCTCTCTAGATGAATTGAAAGATTTTTGCGGCATGGCGGACAAGAGTTTCTATGTCCCAGGGCAGTTTGAGCATGAGTCAACTCACGGGGCCTTTTCTCAGGGTTCCGGGAGCGGGAGTGGGAGCACTCATCCATCTCGTTTCGCTGGAAACCGTGAACCAAATGCAGAAGCAGAAGATGAAGACCTGCCACAGCCGCCACTGTCCCGATCGCAGTCCGAATCTCACCACACTATGCCAATCGGTTCAAGTCCTGAGAAACCTTCCAAGCGCCTTGACTTGATTGAGAGGTTGATGCAGAAAGGCTTGATCCCGCTCGCGGCCTTAGACATTATTCGAGGCTGGCTTTTGTTGGAGTGTGCGAGCGCCACTGAACTGGACAAGAGTCTGGTCAAAGCAGCAACGCAAAACAAGCTCGGATACCAGAACATTCGATCAGCCTTGTTGTCACTCCACGAAGACCGTGGTATGCGAGGGATCAACAATCCTCCCAAGGGTTTTGGACGGGGCAAAGGACATATGGCAAACATAGTGGAAGAGTTTGAGGGTGAGGACATGCAGTACCAAGACTATTGGGGCAGTAGTCATGACTATCCTGAGGGTGAATACCTTGAGGATGGTTACTATGGTGAAGAGTTTCAGGAGACCGCAGATGATCCTCAAGCTGAAGAGTCTGAGGTGAATCCAGAATCCATGACCGAGGACCAAGCTTTGCATGTGATTTCACAGCTTCAAGAAGAAGAGAAAGAGCTGAATGCCATGATGGTTGATGCTCAGCGCAACTTGGAGCAAGCTAGACGTGCAGTCCAAGAAGCAAAGAAGGATCGTGGCTGGAAGAGCTCAGGTTCAAAGGGTTCTCCACCACACGGTTCCCAGAAGGGCACCAGCACGTTCATGCAGGGCAAGGGACATCGGTCACAGACCAATTTCTTTCAGCAGAAGGGGCATGGGTTTCATGGCAAGGGCGGCTACCACAACCGTCCTTTCGGTTCCTCTGGTTGGCGTCCACCGCAACAGAATCGTTTTGCAGGGCGTTCAAACTTTCAGAATAGGAATCAGATGTCTCAGAGACCTTCCTCTCATGCTGGGATGTTCATGGAGCCTCAAGAGCACCACATGATGACTATGACAGACATGATCCCCGAGGCAGAATTCTCACCAGACCTTTCCTTTTTCCCAGTGAGCCAAGCGGATTCACGTGCTGCCATCCGACCTGAAGAGGCTATCATCGATTCAGGTGCAACAGTGTCAGCCGGTGGCGAGACAGCTGTGAAGAACCTTCTCCACAGTTTGGCCCAATCGCGGCCAGACCTTAGCTTGACAGTCGTCACAGAAGATCGGCCATATTTCCGCTATGGTTCGGGATCATGGGGTCAGGCTAGTTACAAGGTGAAGCTCCATTTTGGTTCCATAACCCTACAACTGTATGCACTTCCTTCACCGGGTGTTCCTGTTCTGTTGGGTATGAGAGAAATGCAACAACTGTGTATGATAGTGAACCTCTCCAATGGTCATGCAGTTGTTTTGGGCGAGATGAGACACCTCAGAATGACTCCCAAGAGACAGATTCTTTTCAGCTTCTTGAAGGACCTTCCCGTTCAACGACAACAACATTCTGCAGCCAGATCTCCGAAAGCCGAATTAAGGACAGACCGAACTCGTTCATCAGCACGTGTGGCACAGCAGTCACAGCAGTTGATGACCCTTTTAGATTTTTCGTTCGAGCCCAATTTTGAAGAACAGCCATGTTTTGTGGTACAAGAACCACAACAGTCGGATGGCATTTTCGCAAACTCCATGTTTGAGCATTTGTGTGTTTCACCAGAGCAGTGGCAATTTTTGCAATCTAGCGCATCTTCAAGCTCAAAGCAAGTGACCTTCGATTTGAGTCAGCCTGCCGAATCTGTGATCCAATATGGCAAACACCGAAGAGTTGGAGAACAAGATTCAGGCGGCAGTGGAGCGCGCTTTGGCCTCAGCTTCGGCGAAAGTGACGCCGAAGGCGAAAGCCAAAAAGGGGCCGAAGGGAGAGCTGGATCCAACTCGGACCATGGGAGTCCATACCCAAGATCCTCGTGCGAGCAAGGACTTTTGGCCGTGCAAAGGAAATCACGACCCCAAGCAGTACTCCAACCCTCACGGAGCTTTGGCTGGAGCATCAGGTCAGAGCACTCACATGGACCTGCCTTCCAATGTCGTCCGGGCCATGGAGCACCTTCGTATGGAGGGATTCAAGGAGAACGATGTCGACTCACGTCTTGTGAAGAAGACGATTCGTTACATCGAGGGCCAAGAGCTCATCAAGGCCAAGAAGCCCGGGAAGACTCACGGCGACTTGGACAAAAGGGAGAAAGAGAAGGGATATCCAGCAGCCAGCGCCTCCAATCCGACTCCGGGGCCGGAGATTCACAACTTGGCCAGCGACGACGATTCGTGGGAACAGCCAACTCCCATGAAGAAGAAGGTCGAGAAGAAGACAGAATCACCGTAGAGAGCTTGAAGGAAGATTCATTTCTCCATCCCTTTGGCAATCACCCCAGTGAGAGCAAAGAAGACATGCAGCACAACGAGCTCACACCGGATGCAGTCCTGAGGGATTTGACAGCTAGTTTGAAGTCTTCAGTTTTTAGCATTGAACAGCAGTTGAGATCGCTTCAAGAGCAACGGTTTAGTTTGTGGGAGATGTGTTGTTCTCCAAATTCGACCTTATCCAATGAAGTGATTCGCAATGGATTGAAAGCTCAAAGATGGACAATCGAAGAGGGCTTTGACCTTGAGAAGCCAGAGTGTGTTGCTGAAGCGATCAATGCACTGAAGAGGGATTGTCCGACAAAAATTTGGGCATCTTTGCGTTGCACTCCTTGGACATCGATACAACACATCAACCAACGGACACCACAACAAGTGAACAATTTGCGGAGAATGCGTTTGAGATCAAGAAAACAACTTCGACACATCTTGGAGATTTTTCGCCAAGCACTGCTCCAGGACTCTGGAACGGACTTCTACTTCGAGTGGCCAAAGAACGCAACGGAAGGCTGGCGACTTCGTGAATTGGAACAATTTGAACAATGGTACAATGCAACCTTTTCCAAACCTCTTTACAGAACAGTGGTCCATGGTTGTATGGTTGGTTTGTTGGATGAAGAGGGCAATCACCTACACAAGCCGTGGCAGATCCTGACAAGCGACCAACACTTCCATATACATGCTGGGATTACATGTGACGGACAACATACACACAAAAGTATTTTGGGTTTGGGAACACATGCAGTTGCAAAAACAGCCTTTTACCCTGTGAAGTTTGCGAAGAGAATTGTTCAGGTTTGGAAGCACGAGCAATTCTCAGCATCAGAGCCCAAGATTTTACAATCACTCCACACGATGGACCAGGCTCAAGATCCTCATCTACACCCTGACCGTGCACTTCAAGCTTTTCAGAATCTGGAAGATGCATATCCGGTCGAACGCAAACGTACACACACTGAAACGCAAGATGGGGAAATGGAGACAGATCAAGCAGCAGAAGACGAAACTCTGGAACAGGACCCAACAGTTTCAAACAGTCAAGGTGGTAGCAGCATACTTCCTGAAGTATCTCATGAAGAACGTGAAAAAGGTAAAGTTCTTTTGCACCGACTTCACAAATCCGCAGGTCATCCTTCAAACCAAAGTCTAGCCCGACTGATTCGAGATCGAAAACTACCTGGATGGCTAGTGGATGAAGCGAAGAAACTGCAATGCACTCAATGTTCTGAGGTACTCCCTGGAAATCAACTAGTTCTTCACCGTTCCATTGGAGAACATCCGAGACCTTGGCAGATGGTGGGCATGGATGTCTTCGAACTACATTTTCCATCACAGAGGGTTAAGGGACGTTTTCTGTTGATGACATGTCTTGCAATGCATTTTACAGCAGTTGCACCACTTTGGATTGGAAAATTTTCACAGACTGGAACGGACTCTGGCGAGAAACTGATTTCCACGTTTTGTGATGTTTGGCTACATCATCGTCCTCGACCAGAATGGGTGGTAGTAGACTCACAGTCAAGCCTCATCAACGGTTATTTCCCTACATTCATGCACACAGCTGGAATCGGTATGTTAGCTTCTCCAGGGGAAGGACATTGGATTCATGGGAAGACGGAAGCTATGGTACGAACCATCAAGCGTACTATGAAACGAATACGACAAGAACATCCTCTACTAGCTCCTTCAATTGTTGGCACACTAGCTCCACATGCAGCAAACCACACTGTTCGTTCTACTGGTTTTTCTCCGGTGCAATGGGCCTATGGTTATGACCCCGATGAGTTAGAGAGAAAGAATGACCCGTTGCAAGCGAATGGAGAGAAGCTTTTTGGTCCTAGACATTTCAAAGAATTTCAATCCATGCGTGCTCGAGCAGGTGAACTTTTCCGTGAAGAATCTGCACGTCAAGCTGTGTCTCGACTATGGAATTCTGCTCCTCGACCTTTGATAGATTATCAGGTTGGAGACTTTGTGATGATTTGGCGCACTATGACATTGAAAGCACGAAAACGGGATGAAAACTACAATCCAGAAGCAAGATTTTTTGGACCAGGACGAATAGCATTGATAGAGCCTACAATTTTGGAAGACAAGCGGAAGGCTATCATTTGGGTTCTTTGTGGAACAAAACTGTATAGGTGTGCACGTGAACAACTAAGACCAGCAACTGAACAAGAGACAGTGGTTGAGATTCTGAGATCTGGTGAGATTTTGTCGAAACCTCGTACTGAACTTCTTTCACGACTGAAGAATTTCACAGATGTTTCAAAAGAGCCTTTTTCTCCAGATCATCCTGAATACCAATCAGAGGAGACTGAGCGGAAGAAAGCTCGACTGGACACTGTGTCAGCTCTGCGTGCCAGGTGGGAACAATTGGTATCGATTAACCAGAACCGGAGGCAGGAAGGACTTCCTCCATTGATGCAGCTTCCAGCCCAAGTGTTGGAACAAAGTCCAATGATGTATACTTTTGAAGATTCTGATCCACAACATGTTGAATGTTCACCCGGAGTTCAAACAGCAGAAAACACAGTGAGGAACATTCATCTTTTGGATCAAGAGACGCAGAAACTGGTTTTGGAGAGAATCCACTTGCTGGAAGAGGAAGTCAAGATGAAACAAGAGACAGTGCAGCTTCATGAAATGATCACTCAGGAACGCGAAGATGAAGCTCATTTCCTGTCCTTCATCCAGGACGACTTCCAGAGACCCGAGAAGGACCGTCAATGGGTCTTCCAGATTGAGTTCGACGTTTCGGAAGAGATTGCTGATGCTAATCCGTTTTTGTACGCGAAGCGAGTCTTGGAAGGGAACAAAAACGTAGAGATTACCTACAAGCAACTGTCTCCAGAGCATGTTCCTTTGTTTGATGAAGCAAAAGCCAGAGAGGTCGCTGAAGTTTTGGGTTCAATGGCACTTCGCGCAGTACAATCTAAAGAAGAACTGAAAGAAGCTTTGAGCCATCCTGAACGCCATATTCCCATGAGATGGGTCCTTACTTGGAAACCGATTCAACCTCCTGAACCTCCGCCTCCAGGTAAACCAACTTCAGTGATGCCAGACGGTAGTTGTAAAGCTAAAGCTCGGGTAGTACTTCTAGGGTTTAAACATCCAGACCTTGTGAAGAGAAATCCAATCACAGGTCAGCCAGAACTTAAGACAGCAGCACCGACCATTTCACGCACAGGGAGAAACCTTCTCCTTCAGTGTTTTGCTTTCGATGAACATGAGATTGAATCTGCCGATGCTAAATCTGCATTTTTGCAAGCTGCTAATTGTGAAGAAGATAGGCGCTTGTGGACGAAGGCAGTTCCAGAGATTGCAGTGTCTCTTGGACTGAAACCAGGGCAGTTGATGCGTGTCTTGGGTGCCATTTATGGCCTTACCAATGCTCCTCGCATCTTTTGGCAAGATGTAGATTTGAATTTCCAAAAGCTCGGTGGGATTCCTCATCCCATGGATCGATGCATTTGGGTTTTTCGTGATCCCGAAGGGTCGGTTTTTGCCAGAATTGGTAGTCAAGTAGATGACTTTCTAATGGCAGGAAACCCCAAGAATAAGTTTTGGATTGCTTTGAGAGAAAGGATAAAGGGTATGTATCAATGGAGTCCTTGGAAAAAGGGTGATTTTGTGTATGCCGGATGCCGAATTCGCCAACTCACTTCCTACTCCATCCATGTCTCGCAAGAAGATTTTTGCAACTCTTTGTCTCCTGTGGCAATTCAATCAGACGGCTCTTGCAGTGACAAAGATCCGATGACTGCATCGGAAACTTCGCAAGCTCGAGCGCTTTTGATGAAAGCGCAGTGGAGATCTTTGCAGAGTGCTCCTCAATACGCTGCTCGAATTGGCATAGCTTCTTCCACGTTGTCGGATGGGAAACTGGCAAACTTGAGAGAAGCAAACTCTATCATTCGGGATATGCGTAAGACTGCAAAGGAAGATCTGGTTTTTCACAATTTCAATTTTGGAAGAACGAACAGATTGAAATACACAGATCTTGTTTTCTTGCATTGGGGTGATGCTGGACACAACAACAGACCGACAGGTGGTTCGACCGGCGGGTTTGTTTCTGGAATTTCTTCACCGGAAATCTTGAAGGGCAATGAAACGCCTGTAACCTTGATTGATTGGAGATCCTGGAAACTCCGTCGTCCTGCCAGAGGGACGAACTGCTCAGAAGCTCAAGGAATTGCAGAAGCTGAAGACAAAGGCTGGAGAACTAGACTTATGTTTGCAATCCTGTACGGACACACCCTTCGACTTGGGAAAGCAGACACTCTGACTTCCATGTTCACGAGTCTGTTGATTATGGACTCTCGCGGGTGCTATGACCTACTGGTGAGCAATGAATCTCTTGCCATGTCAATGTCAGACTCTAAGGCTGCAATAGACCTACTTCATGTCCAGAAAGGAATACAAGATGGTACAAACTGTTTTGCTACGTGGGTGCCTTCAGACCTCAACCTAGCTAATTCTCTCACAAAAGCTTCCACGGATGCATATAGAGAGATGAAACTGTTTCATACCAACAAAAGCTGGATAGTGAAGTTCAACGAAGAGTTCATTTCTGCTCGTAAGATGCAACGACTGCGAACACAAAAGAAGAAAGAAGAGCAGAAACAAGGCCTGCATTTTGCAGATATGCCAGAAGTTTGGATGGATGATGCCTGGGCCAACCTTTTTGCCACAGCTTATCTAAGATAAGCGATCGCAGATATCTTCTCTTCAACTCCAAAAGCACTGAACCTGTGCTAAGTTGAGAGGAGTTTCATTGGTGTTTCATGAATTGTGTGAAGCCCGATTTTACCAACCTTAGCACATCTCAGTGGTCTACGGAACCACAGGTGCGGGGTACTCATGTTCTCGTCCGCAGGGGCGCCTCTTGAGCTCAGACTTAGACGGAGTGTTAAAAGGGTGGCACGGACCGCCTAAGCCATGTTTTGATCCTCCTTGTTTGATCTCGTCTTTCCGCTTTCGCACGACGTTCGCAATCTACGCAACTTGGCGGTTTGACACATATCTTATAGCAATCTGTTGGCTGACCTTGAAACTATTCGTTGGCCGGCCTTCATTGGCTTTTTGATTCTATGATTCTATAAAGCCGCATTGAGTTTCGGCATGACTTATTGACTCCACAGCCAAGGACCCGCCAGAATTTCTGGTACCATCGCTGGAGGATTTCTTGAAGAAAGGGTCCCCGGAGGTCCTCCTCCAGCTGATTGAGTCGAAGAGGGATGAGTGTGCAGCCCTCTTCAAACGAATGCAGACTTCACCAGACCAAGCTGTGGCCAAGGCAGAAGCTAAGGTCAAAGCTGCCAGCAAGAGAAAGAACCAGGAGGCAGCCTTTGATCAGGCCAAAGTCAGGACAGAAGCTGCCCAAAGCGTGCGTGATGCCAAGAAGAGCTTGGCTCAATTGTCCAAAGATCTTGTGTTGGAATTGGTGAAGAAGATTGAATGCGAGGGCATGTTGAAGGATGCGATTTGTACCGGCAGCGATCGGCCAGTAACTAGACGACAGTAGTAACTATGGGGTTTGGTAAAAGTTTTGAGATACACAACAAGAAGAGGCATGCACATACGCATTATGCATTGCGTGTCCTTTCCTTCAAGTTCAGTTGGAAGGAATTGCATTTTCCTTTCCAGTGTTATTAAACCTCAGGTATCGATGAAGGAGCTAGGCAATCTTGAGCTTCTACTGGCTGTGGTGGGCTCTACTTGCAAAGACTGGACTGGTTTATCGGGCTTTCTGGACATGTATGTTCAATCTTTTTGAATGTTTGTATACTGTAGATTGTGTATCGCAATTCTTGGTTCCTATTTGTGCGTTCAACGGTTCAACTTCCAATGATTCCAATGGTTCCTGAACCAAGATTTGGGACATTCTATGACAATTGAACTGCTTTGGTTGCGGTTATGAATGCTGATCAGGAGCTCGATGGGCACTCGGTCTGGTTTTATGGGAAAATCAGTCATGGCGTTCGCAATCATGGCCTCGGTACTTCGAAAAGTCTCGCCCCAGCTGTTCGTGCACGAATGCACGCAGACTTTCGATGCCTCCATCTTCGCAAGCCTTTTTCCCAACTACGCTGTGGAGAGCGTGCTGACGCACCCGACAGACTTCGGCTTCCCTGCTCGTAGAACAAGGTTATACACTTTGTTGGTTCGAGATGATTTCAAGTTGCTGCGTGGCATGGATGATCTTCACCGCCTGTATATTTCCCCAGGGATGGACTGCAGCGCATTTCGTGCTGCGGAGGAGCAAGAGGCTGGGTTGGAAGTTGGACTTGACTTAACTTGAAATGAAAAAGACTGACCCACGACTGACTCTCTTTCCATTTCTTTCCGAGTTCACACTCTTCGGCTACTTAGGGTTTGTGAATGCGTATGACTTTGTCCATTTGTCCCTGATGGCCCGTGACCCCCTACAGGTCCAAGACATGCGGGCACAAATGGCGCAGAATGCACCTCTCTTGTCAAATCGCAATCTTGTGGTTTGATATTTTGATGTGGTTTGCTTTCAGGCTTTCAGGACCCAGTTTAAGTTGTATACTGCAGACACGTATCATATCTCTGTAATTTTATATTTGCTGCTGTTTCCTTCATTCACCAGGCAAAGAAAACAGTACATTCTGCTTGGTTGGACCTGCTGCCAGTGGCAGCCGGGGTTCACTTGCAAAGTGCGTTGAAGCTGGAGAAGGTCCGCGCTGCACTCGCGCGGTCGCCCGCCATTGCCATGCGTGAAGTTGCCATCAACCTTTCCCAGAACCCACTATGCCAAGAACATTTTGGGAGCGTGGCCCCTGTAGTGCTGGCGTCTAGCACTTGCATTTGGGGCGTGCTCCAGGGAAGGCCTTACACTGCCAAGGACTTCGGTTTGGGATGTTGATGTTGGGGGCTGGTGGGATGGGTCTTGAAAATGGAAGGCTCCTTAGCTAGGACTGAGGAGATGACTGAGGAAAGTGATGTGATAAGTAAAGAACTGTTCATTCCGATCCCATGTCATGTCATGTAGATTTATGTTCTGTTGCTGCCTTTGACCATCAGGAAATGCTTGAGATGCAGGGCATCCCGATTCACACTGATGCACTGGAAGCAGCTCAGATTTCTCGACCGTTCTTTGACCCTGGAGTGGTCTCTGTCGCAGCGCAGAAGCGTCTCGCTGGGAACAGTTTCCAGCAGGGTTGCATGTCAGCATTCCTGTGTTTTGCTTTGGCATTTGTGATGCCTGCAAAAGAGTGGGATGAGAACAAGATCCCTGTGGCCATCCGACCACGGCTGGCATCCAATGCACGCGTGTGGTGCTTGGGTTCTTCTTCTGAGGCTGAGGATGGTGGCAGTGAGGAGGAGTAGAATGGGACAAGGGTGAAAACATCCCGGTTTTTGAACGGTTTAGGATGCTAGTGGATGAAACGATGTCCAGGCAATGGCAGACATTGCCAAATGCCCATTTGGAAGAGAGAGACAGAGAGACGACTTAGGTGCAAAAACGTTTGTATAGTTTGCAGCAAGCAGCGCACTTTAGCAAATTGGAGCTCAGCGCTTTGGCTCCACTGTAGAAATCTCTTGCTAGTCTAAATCTATTTAGGGCATCGGCCATTTGTGATTGGGTTCCCTTTGAGTAACAGAGTGACAAGATCTGTAGATCGCAGCCGCAGCCGTTTTGGGTTGAAACCTGCCGCATGCCAAACAGTCAGTCACTGTCCGGGTTTGGAGTTGGACATCATGTCCGACGTCACCCCTCCTGATGACTGGACCGACTGCCTTGTATGCGAAACCACTTTCCGCAGCGCAGACTTCTCTTCTAGGAGGGCGACCCGTTACCAAGGTCACTGTCCCAAGTGCAGTAAGGAGCTTCGAGCCATTCTCACTGCAAGTAAGACTGGCAGCAGTGCTAGCACTGGCGACGGCAACGGGGACGGGGACGAATCTACCAGCAAGTACATGCAGGCTTTAGCCAAAGATGACCTGGAAAAGTACCGGAAGGTTTTTGCAGAGTACCGAGAATCCTCATCCTCTTTTACACGTGGTCGGGGGCACCAACGCCAGAGCTTCAATCCCAGATCGGTGCTTGGGCTGAAACAATTTAGATTCAGATATGATAGATTATTTGTCGCGTTAAGGTTTGTTCCTTTCAGCTCACTTGTAGGTTCAAGTGGCCCCACAGTCCCAACCCCCAACACATCCCATCCCAATCCACAAGGGTGTTCATGTTTGTCAAGGTCCTCTATTCAGAAGTCACTGAGACCATCAAGAGAGCCCGGACAGGAACTGGCTGGAAGGCGCTTCGGCACAGTGCCTACATCCAGTACTACACAAGCGAACTCCCACCAGAGGATCGCTTGACCCGACAAGAGGCAGAGCTTGCTTGGATTCGCGATGTGAACCCCCAAAATGCAGCCACAGAAAAGGACAGAAACTGCGGCTAAAAGCACTGCAAACAAATAAGTGCCTGATGTTTCAATGGTTCTGTTACGTTCAGGAATTATGGGATATTGTTGAAATGACTTGTTACGTTCTGCTATGTTTAAATGACTTGGCAGTGCAGCATTCCCGTTGAGATCCCTTGCCTCGAAGGAGATGATTGAAATCTACAATGCCAAGACTGGCCGAACGGAGAAGGTGCAACACGTGTGGGTGCAAACGGCCATCAGCAAGCACAAGGAGCACATCCACGATGACAAGAGATCTGCAGCAGTGGTTGAGCAGCAAAATGACGCGAATTCAAAGACAGCCCTGGCTGCCAAACAGCGGGTTCTGTCTTTCCTCACCATGAGTGCAGATGACAACTTCTTTAAGGCCACTTGGACACTGCAGACTGTAGACAAGGTAAAACGACAAAACTTTCACTGTTTGTGTACTGGTAGGCCGGTGGGTGGGTGATCCATAGATAGTATGCTTATGTTCTTGTGCTTCATGACCCATTTTCTGCTGAACTCCATCCCACTGAGTCAGCGGAGATGATCTTGGAGGCCACTCTTGATGAGACGTGCATCCTACCATCGACAGGGGATGGAAGGCGTGGTAGCAAGGGACGCAAGCCGAGGAGTTCCACCAAGAAGGAGGCCAAGAAGGTAGATATCCCAACCCATCGGTTGCGCACGGCCACGAAGACCATCACACAGTTGAAGTTCATCCAGGCCTCGTTCAGGGATATTGACGGCAAGATTCAGGGCTTTTATGGTGATCACAACGAGATGCGGGAGAAGGCCCAAGCTTTGAAGTCCAGCGGCGTCAATGAGGACCGTATCATGACCGATGCAAGCCTCAACCTTCAAGATTCCACGGCCCTTGTCAGGCTGATGTACACTGTGATTGACAGGCATCGCCTTCTCCAGATTCTCAGTCTTGGTTCTGACTGCATGAAACTCGATGGGCTTCCTGATGTACTGAGAGATGACGTTGACCATGCTACCCTCAACGCTATAAACATGTTGAAGGGTGACCCTTTCTTGGCAGAGAACGCTCAAGACATCAAGTCCTACTTTGAGTTCAGAAACGTCGAGGTACTTTTTGAATCGCTGACTGACAAGGAGGAGATTGACAACCTTCACGAAGACATCAAGAATGTGATAAAGTCTGTCAAAACGTGCGTGACAGCCATTCGCAGGACCATGAGTGACTATGTTCAAATGGTCAAGTCCACTACAAAAGCCAGAGAGAAGTTCGAGGAGCAAATTGCCAAGGCCAACAACCAGAAGGCCACACATGGAGGGCTCCATGGCCGGCCCAATCTTCAGAACATCCTGGACACAGACCCTGAGGTTTTGAAGCACTTCAAGTGACTTGGCTCCTGTTTACCGGTGAAAAGTTTCTATTTTGTGGGCTGTGCGGGTTGTGGCATTGGTTCCCTTTCTTGACAATTATTTTTCACGCGGGTTGTGGGGGGATGGTGACGGCCACGCGAAACAAATAAGGCTGCTGAATAGCCGGCGTCCGATGGCTGTCGTCAAAGACATGACGGACAAAACTGATATGACTATGCCAGTGGTGGTTCGCAAGGGCCGCAACACGCTGGCGACCATTTGCAAGGAAGCCAGCACCAGAAAGTTCTTTGACAACATCATCGAGGCGCTCAAGGAGAGAACTTCAAGCGGTCAGAAGAGTCGACTTACGTGCCTGCACTGCACTGTGTACAGTTTAATTTGTTGGCAGTGTCACTGCGTCACGTCAACAAAAGCCTCTGTCTCTCCTGACTTGACATTCAACCATTCCTTTTGAATGCATTGAAATTTGGTACCGGAGAACTCAAATAAGGGCCATGGTGGGCACCAAGACTGCTGATGGCAGCGAGGATCCCGATGCCAAGAAGGCCCTTGCAGAGGCGCAGGGCGCCTTCCAAGCCTTCTTGCCGGACAATCTTGCACACATGGGATTGGTTGTCACGGAAAACCAGCTTTCGGACGCGAAGTTTGGCTTCGACGTCCCAGACGCCAAGAACCAGGCAATGTCTGAACTTCTTAGTCTGTCAGTGTGTGGCATGCAGCAATACAGTTCCTACGCCGGGATTGAGAACAATGCGATTGGAAATCTCAGACTGCAGGCGTCTTTGAGTCCAATGTGCATCAAATTGTTTCAAACCATTTGTGTTTGGGGGTGGACAGGTTGATCATCGATGGTATGGTTTGGTGAAAAATCTACAGTAGATTTGATTTGATTATGGAATTGCAATGACACTACACTGTGTTGATCGACAGGTCATGGGAACCAAGATTGTTATCATGGCAAGAGTGCTGGATTGCATGCGATTCTTTGAGACCAAATCACTCCAGATAGCTCGCGATCGTCTGCAGTCTCTAACAGCATCGCAATTGCCAGATGAGATGAGCTACCTGACACACAGCTAACTAGCCACACTGTGTTGACCGTTGGGCTGGAGCTTTTTCAAACTTTCAAACCTGAATTGTTTTCTCCTGCCCGGGCCCGTGCGACGAGTAACTAGGAACTGGCAGTTGGTAATGAATCTGTGAATCGCCCTGAGGTATGCCAAGTCTCGTCGCTGGTTTCATCAAAACTGGCGATGTATGGTACACTCCGGCTGGAATGCTGATCTGCGAAAAGGCTTTGACCGATGTCAGTGTGGCCTTAAGGCAAGGGCTTGTTCAAAAAGTTACACTGTGTTCACTTTTGGACAGTATATATGTCAAAACCTTTGCAGGGTTTTGATCAACTTTGGTTGTCGTATGTCTGGAAACAAATGCATAAACGCCCCTAATGCAATTGACTATCGCTGTGTTCCGCGGTAGTGGTTATGTTGATGGAACGCGTTTTCAGGACCAATGTGCTGTTCTTCACGGAGGAGCTAAGCAACAACTTTGATGTTGTTGCATCGCAGGCCGGACACACGCCCGAAGATGAACAAGGACGCTACTACGGGCTCCTGGCCTTACTACTAGGAACAAGGAGGCTGCTGGTGCCGCTGCTCTTGCTGCGCGGGGGGGGGGGGGGGTGGGGGGGGGGGCCCCCGTCCTTCCCCGTGCTTGTGCTGGCTGCTGCTGCCTTGCTGCCCGGGGGGGGGTGCGTGTGGTGAGGTGGCCCACGTCCCTCCCTGGTGCCTTTGCTGGCTGCTGCTGCCGCTGCTCTTGCTGCACGGGGCCCACGTCCCTCCCCGTGCTTGTGCTGGCTGCTGCTGCTTTGCTGCCGGGGGGGGGGGGTGGTGCGGTGAGTGTGGTAGGGGCTCCTGGCCTTACTACGGTAGGAACAAGGACGCTACTAGGGGCTCCTGCTACGAACAAGGACGCTACTAGGGGCTCCTGGCCTTACTCTAGGGGCCTGGCCTTACTATTATAGGAACACGGACGCTAGCTGCGATTCTATATATCCCTGTGCTGTAATATGCGTGTCAAGAACATGTCAAATGTAAATTGTAGACTATGGCCAACCGTCCCAACCCGTGTCCAGGTGAAGCAAGCTGATGCAGTGGATTTGCTTCTGGAGGTCTTGCCAGAGCAGGAAGACCAGGACGAGGCACAACCAGTTTCAGGGTCCGTCATGGTGCCCAAGATAGAGGCAGAAGACGCAGAGCAGACGGATGCTCTCGATGATTTCGAACGTCATTTGGAGAGGGTAATCCAGAGTGAGCCTGGGCCTGCAGCTCCAGGGTCACCACCAGACACTGGAGCCACTATCGCCAAGCCTCATGACCAAGACGCAGGAGAGACAGGCGCAACCCCACCGCCCAAGCAGGATGAAGTGTCTGAGGAGATGGCGCTCGAGGCGGGAAGGAGAGCTGCAAGAGATTTCATAGAGGAAAACGGCAACCCCCTCTCCGACGCGATGGCAGTCGTTCCAGCTTCAACTCAGCTGCCCGACCCACCGACCAAGACTGTGGGGGAGCAGCCGCAGCATGCTGCACTGCCTGAGCCACCGGCCGAGGCTCCAGAGAGTGAGGGCAATGGCAAGCCAGCCGAGGCTCCAGAGACTGAGGGGAATGGCAAGCCAGCCGAGGCTCCAGAGACTGAGGG